AGACTATTTGAAGATCAAGAGCTGTTAGATATAGAGTAAAACCAATGTATCTCAGATGAAGCCCGGCTTGTTTCAAGAATAAAAAATGCTATCCACTGCACTAGATACGGTAAACCTCTATCCGGTGAATAGCATAATAAGTTTTGTTAACAATTATCCGCTGGATAGCGATTTATCGCCCCTAGAAACAAATGGATCCTGCCTCACCACACAATTTCACAATAAGTCACCTTAAAAAGGGGGGATTGGATTTTCGGTTTTAGATATTTTTTAGATCGCTTTTTAAGTTTCTGTGTCAAAAAAGCCTCAATTTTTCGGTTTTGGTGTTCGTTGCGATTTGCGGATTTTCCGTTTTTTAGCATTTGGATTTTCGATTTTCGTTAAAAATACTAACGAGCTTTAAGATTTCGTATCCGATGTGGGTTTCGGTTTTTCCTATTTGGGTTCCGGTTGCTCTTCTATCCTGCAACCGTCATCATTGTACGGTTTTGCATGTGGTCTTCTGTTTTGATCGAATATTTTAGCGGTTTTGTGGTTTTGGATGATTTTTTTCTATGGTTTTGTGGTTTCTAAGGGGCCGACCATTTAAGTCTTGAATGGAAGGGGTGGGGGGTGGGGGGGAAGCGAGCTAGCAGCAGGTTATCGAACTAATGATAAAACATACCGGTATATATCGCTAACAATAGACAGGTTGGAAACAACGTGTGGCTTGTTTTGATTCTTGTAAGAATAGATGCTTGTAAGAATTTCTTGAGTGGTTGGATATTCAGAAACTTTTATTGTCAGAAGAAAGTTCGGAAGTTTCATTCAGGGAGCCAGAACCGAGCTTATAACTGAAACATCTCTTTACCCTGTTGTAGTAGCCGTACGTGACAGCATTCGGTGTTATTCCTTGGTTTTTCATCTCAAACAAGACCTAGATGGAGAAAATGAAATCACCTTCTAAAATAAATTGTTACAAAGGGACTTTTTTTTTCAGAAACATCATCTTGAGCAACAGAAAAGACCTTTTTTCACTCAAAAGCCTGATCTATCAAGTAAAGAAGCAAGTTACCTAGACTATTTTTAATGCTTCTCGCAATTGTATTGTAAATTGACCATACTGCAAATAGTATTCAATTCAGCCTTTGCGGCTGCGATTTATCTATGTTATTTAACTAACTAACAATCTATCTACCTATCTAACATACAAACGCATTGCTTAAGGGGGGGGGGGTTGGGTGGGGTGATACGCGTGATATCAATACACTATCAAGTCTGTTAATCCTTTACATCAGTGTCCATATTCTCCATACGATTTTCTATACAATTCCTAGGATGCCGACCAGGAGAGTTTGTTTAACAATCAAGAGCTTCTTTAGTTGGTGATCATTTCCTTTCCTATAGCAACCTCAAAGTGTGATTCGGGCGACATAATGTAAGGAGAAATTAGATGCTGGTCAGTACCTCTTAGGGGTCAAACGGTTAATATATAATCTCTGCTTCCCTTAACGCTACAAGCGACCATTTGTAATAAACAACAATATTTAATGTTATTCTTTGGTACCCATCCACACGCGGGTCAACATATATTGACGATGGAATAAAGGGGGAAAGTTTCTAAAGAAACTGTGGTGCTGCGTCGGTGGGGGGTAACAAGGTAATTTGGTAATATCAACTAAGTTAAAATTGTAAATTGGCCACCGTAACGAGTTAAAAAGCTGACGTTTTGAGCGTTAGCCCTTCGTCAGAGCGAAAGACGAAGGGCAAACGCTCGAAACGTCAGCTCTTTAACTAGTTACTGTGGCCAATTTACAATTGAACTTAGTCGATATTACCAGATATATTGACGAGCCCTGTATCAGAAACAACTGCTACGATAGTCACCTTCACAGCTAAGGCTGGGTGACCATACTGTCCACATAGCTGCATCAGCACTCGATAGCAGACCTGGTTCATGAGAGATTAAGGAGTTAGTCTCGTATCCGGGAGTGGACTGGTTACCAATCAGACCTGGCAGGCCAGAACAGTTCAGCCATTAGGGAAGGACAAGTTTCACAATACATCATAACTGTCGAGACAGATGAGCCCGTTCCAATTTTTTTAACTGGTAGGTTTTCTTTTCCTTCGCTCCTAAAGTTAGGGAATCTCTCTCTTAAACAAGGAGTTGTAGTAATTTTTTTTTTTTTTTTAAAGATGACTCACCTCATCTGGCAACTTGACGCCTTTTTTCTTCATTTTACACAAGATCTGCCAAAAACATATAGCAAAACATGAATGTCATTGTCTAACAAGGATGGCAGGGTTTTCAGTGGATGCATGCTTAAGGTGGAAGCGGTTATAAGACACTCAACTGACATGCGTCGGATGAAAAAGTGCGTACCGGCATCATGCTCACTCACACTGGGGCGACGAGGCAGAATATAACACTTTCAATCCCAAGATCTAATTAGTAATTCTCCTTACTATCTGCCATACAATTGTTTTCATGTTGGTTAGGAGAATTTGGTGTTAGATGTACTGATAATCCCCCGATTTTCTTTTTTTCCTTATTCTCATTACTTGTCTGCCTGATATTGTATTGATATTGTAAGGAGAAATTCTGTCTTGGTCACTCGTGGGAGTTAAAGTGTTAAAATGAAAAGCACTAACTCAGTGAAAGGCCCAGAATGATATTACTTATATGACAAATAGCGACTCCAAACTTCTGAGAATTTCATTTATAAAGAAGAGCTTCTCCTTCCATTCGCCCTTGGTAATGCCACGAAATGGTTCCACATGACATCTAAAAGAATCGCTAGAGATGATGACTATGAAAACTGTCCACCTTCCCTGATTATGGGCGGGCGACTTTAACACCACAGACCAGACTCACCTCAAGAGCTACATGTAACACTTTGGCCTTGTTGTGATGACACTTTACATACGCGGGGAGATGAATGAACCACAGACTGTAACAATGTGCTAACAGGCACCTGGCGTATAGAAAGACACACAAAACAGACATTACAAAACGAAACAAAATGACAAACAAACATATAAACAAACAATTCACAAAACTCACTTGGCCCAGCTGATGGGACTTCCAGCGTACCTTCTCGCCATCTGAAGAAAAAGAAAGAAAAATTAAAAGTTGAAAGCGTTCACAGCAAGACTCAACCATGTTCTGCGTTTAACGAGTTATGGTGACCTTCATCGCAAACGCCTGGGGTATTAGTGACCGGGAATAGCCCTTTTCCCCCGCTCTTGAGCATGCCCAGAGAATAAGATAACCAAGCTATATCTAATCGAAGAGAGCAGAAAAAAACGCCCCTAGTTTGCAAAGACATATTGAGACGTTATGAATTGACCTTTTTAATCAAAGAAACATGTAAAAGAACTCAGTATCTGAGCAACTGTGAATCCACCCCTTCCTCCCCTTAACCCAACAACAGTCAACTGATAACAGGTAAGAGTTAATTTTGAGTGAGGAGAGGGGTCGGTGCGGAGTTGGTTGAGCAGCGGACACTGAACCCCTCAGACTTTCATTACCAAAACAGACTGATATCTTTCTGCTTTTGTTCTTCTGGCCACAGGAGACACGGGAGGCGTCATGACAGACTGAGCATGAACAGAAAGCTTCTCAGGCTTCATCAGATCGACATTCAAAACTGGAAACACTGGATACCTGATGGAGGAAATCATCAAATCAATAGTTTTGAAAGTCTCGTTCTACGATCGCATGTTCTAAGTTAAAAGCCTGGGGATTGGGGTGAGAATACCTTCAGAAAAGAAAGAAGTGGCATTTTGTCCGCGAGAATTCAATGGGTCAACGTGCGAGGAATCAAGCCTCCGTTTCTGCTAAAAACAATCAACAAATTACGACGGACGCCCAGATTGTAAGTCCCACCCTCTCTCTCCTCCTTATCTTTAAGAAAACTGAAAAGTGCTTTGAGAACTACCACAATTTGTCAGGCCTTCACCTTTATTAAGCACAGTTTCTGAGATATCAGTTCAAACCTGTCTTGGCCGGCTTCCCACAGAATCTGCATCACATTTTATCAGTTTTAATGGTTCTCTACTTACGTATACAACTTCCCTTTATCCATGTTGGAAACATCTGGTGGTGTGACAACGTACGTCCTCTGACCACCCCTGTCAAATAAATAACGTGTATTAATTTTCCACAGATAGAAACTTGATTTGACGACCGCAGAAGAAAGAGTATCTAATCCATCAGGGGTTAAATCACTCACGGTGGAAACGGAAGTTTCACTGCCCTGCCTTCATAGCATTTGTATTACATCTCCTTTGGGTTACCGTTACTAGTCATGATGATACTATGTGCGTACGAAACCAACGTTTCTCAGAGGCGCCGACTGGCGTCTTTTTTGTTTTTTTTTTTTTTTACGTTTTTGTTCCAATCGCCAAATGGAACAATGTGGTCGCCGAAAAATGCAACTTGTATTATGGTCGTCCCACTGTGAAGTGCGAAATCGCACGTTTGAAAAAGACGTTGCCCTGCTTTACACGTTTTTCTACCTGAGAACGATCACTAGTTGAGTGCTTTCAAACGCAATGAACTTTCCTCTTCTTGACCGCCGAATAACACGGAATTAATAATTATTGCCAAAACTTGAAGTCACTCGTCTGCTAGCAACCGGCACTTAAATTCTAGTCACCAACAGTTAATTTTTATTCGCATTGGCGACCAGCTGGTCACAATTTCGGACCCAGATAAGGCACGGGGTTGAAAGCCTGTGTTGCGCATAACAAGTACCACATATGATGACAGGAAACTAGTCGCCCTCAAACGTATGTGCAGCAATATACAGTCGAAGCGATTTTTTTCAGAGGTCGTCAAGCGCGGAACATATTTGTTACATATGTCAAAATATCTGATACTTTTTTTTTGTGTAACTTAATAGCACTGTAAGACATAAATAGATCAAAATGATACCTTGCAACTGATTCATCTACTTCGACAAGGCGGCAGTCTGGTGATTGGTCCAGCTACAACACAATGCACGCAATGGAATCACTCACAGATCATTTAAAAAAAAAAACCTCGAGGGTTGAGAAGATAGATTAGGATTCCATGTACAAAAAATTCGAAAAAGTTAGGCTTTGTTATTCAATATTCAGAAATAGTGACCCGGCTCAGTCCCAAAGAAAAGGTAAATCGGTGCGCCCCAGCGATCATCTCCACAATGTGCAGGGGATTGCAGGCGCACCAAAACAACCACAGCTGAGAACTGGACATAGCTTGAGGATCGCGACTTAATTAAATGGATAAAGGGGGTAAGTTTCTAAAGAAACTGTGGTGCTGCGTTGGTGGGGAGTACAAGGTAATTTGGTAATATCAACTAAGTTGAAATTGTAAATTGGCCACCGTAAAGAGCTAAAAAAGCTGACGTTTCGAGCTTTAGGCCTTCCTCAGGGCGCCCTGACGAAGGGCTAACGCTCGAAACGTCAGCTTTTTAACTCTTTACGGTGGCCAATTTACAATTTCAACTGACTAAGTTGATATTACCAAATTACCTTAATTAAATGGATACTCCAACATCAGGTTTTAGAGTAAGGACTAGAGCTGAAAAAGTTATTTACCGAATGATTTACCGAAAAATAACTTATTCAGTCCCAGTCCTTACTTGGAAACCTGATTTTGGAGAATCGATTTAGTCACAGCCATAATTTAAAGCCTTCAGACAGGATCTACAAAATGAAAAAAAGAAAAAAAAAGCAAAGGGTCGTAGAAGTAAAATTAATTAATATCCGGAAGGAATGTACAGACATATCAATGACGCTATCAAAAAGACTCGTAAACGCATAGTTAGATACCTTTTCTAAACAGTTGTCAAAGAATGCTAACAAAGAGTCTTGTGATGATACAAAGGATCTCCCTTCAATAAACCGGCTAAACATCTGTTTTAAACAAATAAAAAATAATATGAACACAAATCAGAGTTATGGTATAACTCTAGTAAATACATCATTACGCCTTGGCTAAAACAGCACCATGGGAAAAAATGTTACCTGCGTCCTTGATAAGATCTGAAAAAACTTCGATTGGGCATTTGGACGACTCTTCAGAAAACCTAGAAAACAAAAATTTATGATCACAGTCTGGGTTTCAAGCCATAATAAACCTACTCAACAATATTCAATGCAGTTTATTTGAACATAACACGCGATTATTTCCAGATACTTTCACCTTCCAAAGGGGTATTCATGGCCAAGCAACAATTAAATCATTTTCTAATACGCAAAACAAGTATTTCTTTTATGTACAAACCTTCCAAGTCAAACAGCGACGTCAGATCGCACGTCTCCTGGGTAGGTGCTGAAGTAATTGGCTTTAAGAAAGCCCTGTGAAACAGTTTTAACGGTTTAATGGGTCAGCATGGGTAGTGACAGCTATAAATATGCTCGTTATTTTCTATCAACTCGGGTACGAATATGACCGCTCTGACGAAGGGCTAACGCTCGCCGGAAACTTCAGCTATAGAAACCCATTATAGTGCCGGCCAATTTACATTATAAACTCAGTTTATAGAACCAAATTTTCTTGTAATACCACCCCAAAGACGCAGCACCACGGTTTTCCTAGAAAGCGATATTATCCTTCGAAGAGTGGAAACTTGAAGATCGAAGAAATTAAAGGTTAAACAAATTTGTTGACAATGATTTCTTGATACACTATTCTTTATCGCGGCGTTTACAACATGATAACTAAATTCGAATTTTTGTTTATTCGTTTTACTTTTTCAAATAATTTTTCGTCAAAAGAGAACTCATTACTTACTCATAGCCTTTCAGTATTGTTGCCATAAATCGTAGGAAAGCATCTTGAATCGCTACCTCTAGTTGAAGCTAAGAGGGATAAAAGCAAAAACAATAACATAGTTCACTAGCTACCTACATTGGTAACAGCGTGAGGTTTTTCTTGCTATAGATGAAAAGATCACCTTCGCAGTTTTACTGTCTTAAAAATTTAGCTTAATATTTTGAGTAAATCATTAGCAATTCGTGTGAATCTGAGCACTCCATTTGGATCCACTGTGCAAACCAATCAAGAATTGAATTGGTTTTCTTTCCCAGCACTCTGTGATTGGCCAAGAACACATCCTCTCAACCAATCAGATGCAAAACTTGGACCCAACGCCACTTGGCACGCGTTTTCCCGCGCCCCTGTCAGTTTCGTTTTTACTTTGAGGTCCCACTGGCTCCTTGGTAACCTTCCTTCGTTCTGAATGACTGTTGCAACTTCTTTCTATGACTGTTTTAAAAAAAATTCCTTCGAAATCCGCCCCATTGTTAACTCGTAAGTCTACCTTGGAAATTCTACTCGAAATTTCATTCCATCTTAAGGCTACTCTCCTCAACACTTCCAAAAATCAAAACTGCAACAAAACTTACCCTTTTTCTTGAATAGGAAGTGTCATGATCCAGCGGAGCTAACTCAATGGCTGGCTCTACGATATCTACATCAACAGCTACGATGAAATAAAATGGAACATTACACGACCGTGTACAAAGCTAACAGTTTCCGTAACACTTCCTGTTTTCTTAGCTTCTTTCTTATACTTTCACGCCACCAATTAACTCGTTTTGAACAATGTCACTCTTCACTCGACATAATTCATGCAAGCTATCTTGAATACTTAAAGAGCGTTCAATTCTCCAGATTAGTCCATCGAAAAGCTTACTAACCCATCTATAGCCCTATCTGTAGCCATGTTTTTTTAATCAATTCACGCAAACAAGTTAGTGAATGTCTCATTAAAGAGCACCTTACCTTCTCTTTCCTTACGAAACAGTTGGTATAACTGATAGAGAAGCTCATTCAGTCTTTCATGTAAGACTTTTCCCGGTTTCTGCGTAAAAGTAAAAATGTACTTTACATAATAGAGGCAAAAAAGGGAGTTTAGTAGTTCATGTTAATTCCACAGCCTGATAATAATTATTTATCAATTGTCAGCTAATGCATAATTACCACAGCCCAGGTTCGAGTGGTCCATGAAGATAAAATACACGCACTTATTGGTTTGAATCAACAAGCACTTCCAAATTTACAATGGTAGCAATAAATTTTAAGTTCCTAATGCATTCTTAATCTCATTTATCATTACATACCTTTGGAAGACTTTTCCAGCTAAGCCCTTTGACTTCATTCTCTCTGTAATGTACATGTACATAAAATCAGCAAAGAATTAAAAGAAACCGTTCTTCAAGTCATTTCAGTCATTATAAGGAACAAGAGAATTGCATTGCGAGAAAAACTACACCTTCACTGACAAAATATACAAATGTTCTTTGTTTTCCACTGATTATTCGAAGAGGTATTCAAATTATTTACATACAATGCAAGTGTACTCGCACGAAATGTGCCTAAAATGATTGTATGTTTAAAGAAATGGTACGAGTAGTGAGGCTCAGAAATAAAAAGTTTTGTCTCCCTGATCATCAAACTTACAGTGAAATAGTGTTGTTATCCAAGTCAACACAAGTGACATCATCTGGTGGATCGTACTGATCAAAGTATCGTGAATCAATGCCTGAAAAAAAAACAATAATTATTAGCAGTAGTCCTATTTCATACATAAAAAATGGTTTGAACCTGGGGTAACATGTGATAGTGAAGTCTGATTGTCCAGGTGAGTGTAATCCTGAGAACAACTGTTGTCAGTAGTGGTGAATGATGTGTAGCAGTCATATTTCAGTAACATAGTACTCATTCTTAAGAATCATTTGGTGGAGTGTATAATAATAATAATAATAATAATAATAATGATGATGATGATGATGATGATGATGATGATGATAATTTTATTCACCATAATCACTAAAAGTATTTACAAAAATTATGATGAAATGCTTAAAAATCGAAAACAAATGCATCAAAATGTCCAGCAAAAATCCCAGAAAAAGCTCATGGATACATACTTCTTATAATAATTATAATGATGATCATAATTAAGGTATAACTATTACAAAACAAGTTTAAAAAGTCTCTAACTGAGAGAAAAGTTTTGAATCTCTTTGGTATTAACTTAATAATAATAATAATAGATTTTTCCTTAAAAATATTTCACAAAAAGCAGTTCTCTAAAAAAAATTAAAAGTTCAGTAAACTAAGCTACATACTAAAAAATTGACTGATTAAATTCTGGCTTGCGCACTTTCCGATGTAATGTCAGTGTCAGATATATTGGCTACTCTTCCCTTTCTCCTGGTTCCTCTGAGACAAAGCAAAGCTGAACGTAGAACGGCAAAGGATATCTTCGCCCTTATCCAAGATATGGTTGTAGCATAGCCATCACCTTTCTTTAAAGCAAGTAACTCTGCGAGGCGGCTATGGAATCTCTTGCATTCATTGGCCATTCCACCTGTACTTGTAAAAACTAATGGTGTGAATGTTGCTTACTCCACTTCCAAAACCCGCCTGCTGTATTGCCTCTTCTTCTCATTTTCATGTAGTTGGAATATCTGTTTCGGAGACAGTTCTCGATATGAATCTGCGTTTGGGTGACACACCCGAACATCAAAGAACGCAGATTGTTGTCTGTCCCAAAACCCGCGAGCGTGGATATCTAGTCGAGCATCGGGCGCTCTGTTTGCGCCTCTGTTTAGCTCTTCCCCAGTGATTTCCTGAAGAACTGGTTCTGTCTCTACGTCAGTGCAAACCATGCGCAACATTTCCGCTTCTAGATCCCTAATCTCATTGTGCCTTTGAATGATCAGCCCACCATGCCGGCAGACCATAGCATGATCAACGGTAAAAAAGTCCCCACATGTGCACATGGCAGGTAGGTCAGCGATCTCCCAGTCATACCTTAATTTAATTGCATCTCTGAATTCTCTTTTGTTCAAATTAAAATTCATCTCCTTTATCGGGATCACTGTCAACCAATTCGAGGCCCCTTTCTCCGCAGCCAGCTCTACCGCGCGTTCAGTTTTGCTAGACAAGGATTCCCTCACTTGCTCACACTGCCTCTTTAACAATTCATCTTTTTCTCTTCGTGCATTCGCTTGCAGGGTCTTAATTTCCGTCTCATCTGGTGGCTCTTGGGCTTGCTTGATAATGATGATGATGACAATAATAATAATAATAATAATTATAATGATAATAATAATAATAAGTATAATAATAATAATAATGATGATGATAACAATAATAATAATAATAAT